TCCCACAATGTTGAAGTGGACCAATAAAAAGTTAAAAAGTTTCCGAATTCTATTATTATTTTTGAAAATTATTAAAAATAAAGAAGTTATATATAACATTTCTATTAATAATAAAAAATAAAATAAATAATATTAAATATGAAATTTTAAATTTAAATTAGATATATACACACATATTAGAGACTCTTACATTAGCATCCAATTTTTCTCACATAACTATAATAAATTTTAAGTTTTTTTTTTCTGTGTGTGCAACCATTTCAAATAAAACAAAATATTTAGGTTTCACTAACGAAAGAGTCATTACAACGTAAAAAACCAATTTGACTAAACTATATGTTTAACTATTAGCTAAATTACAAGGAATATAATGAAAAAAATATATAAACAAAACCACTACAAACCGCTTTAATATTGAAAAAACCATAAAATTTCCAAAATTTGGCCACCGAATTTGAGAAAAACTATACATTCCAAGCAGATAAACACTTTTGAAAAACGAAACACTGAAAATAGAGAAAGAGGTTATGTCATTAGGAAGAATGAGACTAAGATATCCAAGGAAGATTTTTGAAATAACATTGCATATGATAGAATTTTAATAACCAAACCTGAACCACAAAAGTAACAATTATCTGATCAAGCAGCATTCAAATACATTCGGTAAGCCTCAAAACAAGGAGGAGAGACTAACATCACTTATCGCAACGTGCCTCGTGTGAGATTTTCTAGCTTTAATTTATTAATCTATTACTAATAAAAGTTAAAGATATATGCCTCTAAGAGTGTCCACATATGATTTAAAAATTCAATTATATTGGTTCACATGAATATTTAAAATTAAAAAAAATATAATTTAAAATATATTGTTTAACAAAAAAATATATTTAAAAAAAAATTAAAGCTATATGCCTCTAAGGACATCCACATAAGATTTAAAAGGATAATTTGATTAGTCCACATCAATAACTAAAATTAAAAAGTTTCTAAATTATAAATTTACATTGTTAATACAAAATAATATAGAAAAAATTGTTAAGTAAAATTATTCTATTATTAGTAACAAGTTAAAGCTATATTATTTTCAAGACATTTACATCAGCATTTAAAAAATTAATTTTAGTCATATATATTAAAATTGTAAATTAAAATTTTTTCATAATTCTAATATTATGGTTAAGAAAATAAATTTAAAAATAAAGAAATCTTTATTAACAACCAAAAAACTAACATGATATTAAAATATCAATTTTCACTGTATAAGTTACAAATTTAATTTATTATCAAGAAAAAAATATATGCTACTTATACAAGTTTAAGTTACTTGATTTTAAAGTTTTTCACGTAAAATTTTAAATAACTAATAATTATGATTTATATTCATCTAATTTTTTCACATATGCAAAACATATTTCTACATAATCTCATGTAATATATTATGTAAAAATGATCGAAAAATACATTTTGTATATTCGACTTGGAATTGCAATAGATTAATGTAGAAGTTCTTAGTTTTGAGTTGTTCAATTTGTTATTTCATTTTTTGAAATTTGTATGTATTAAATTGTACCGGTTTCGCCTACTTAATAATTAGTGGAAATGAGAATGAAAATGATGAGACTAAATATAATCATACAAAAAGTCTTTAAAATAAATAAATATAATATATTCAATGAAAAAACAGATATAACAAGAATAAAAGTGAACAAAATGAAACAAAACATTCTTATTAAAAGAGATGACGGATAATCATTGAATTTTTTTTTAAAAGTTTACACAACCAATTGACAAAAATATATATTTAATTTATAAAATTTGTGTGATTTTATTCATTTCATATTCAACTTTTTGTTTTGGTTAAAAATTTAAAGTTGTTATTAATCTAAAAAAAAACATTTTATTTATTATTATTTTTTTAAATTTAATATATTAAAATAAAAAAAATTTATTGGTTAAACAAGAGAACAAAAAAGATTAAATTTTAAAATTATTATTTTTCTTTGTTTTTAAAGAACACATATATAATTGGAATAAAATAAAAATGATGAAAAAATATATCTTTTGATTTAAAGAAATGAATGTATAATATTTTATCATCATGTCAATATTATGTTTAAAAAGTAGCATTTGATTAATTTAGAAAATTTTTAGTTGGTTTGGGTATACTAACTTATAAGTATTTAACCAAATAATACATTTTTGAAATATGAAATTTTGTATATAGATTCAAAACAAAACCGTTAAAACTTCATAATTTATTTAAAAAATTATTAGATTAACATCATAATATTTTTAATATATTATTAAAACACTAATATATATATATATTTATTTTAATAAATATAATTAATTGCATATAAATTTTATCAACAAAATACCTACACATAGCATGACAATATTTAGTGATATATAAAGGGTAAGAGTCAATCCATTTATCGCCAATTGGTTTTAACACTACCAACATTTTTTAGACTGGATATTTTAATGTTAAAAAATAGCTAGTGGCCCTTCTAGCTTTTAGAATCTTGACGAGGAATTAACTTCTCACGATGACTAAGAAACAAAAAAATAAATGAGAAAGACAGTTCCCGGTTTGGTCCAAACCGGCGGCATCCAAATTATCCTTCACCGATACTTCACCTGTGGCTTCCAGACGCCTTCTCTCTCTCTCCTATATAATCCTACTCGCGAGTTAACTAAATATCACATCTTCTAAATAATTGATCGAGTGAATACTGTATGTCCATAAATCAAATCCAACAAAACTAAACTACAACCTCAAATTTTCACATATCTACTCTTCAGTGTTTTAATATCTGGATTAGTCTTCGATTAAACTTGTATATCTGCTAATCTGCTATCTAGTTGATAATTCGATCTGGTTAGATTTTCTAATTTTTTTTTTCAAAAATTTATGACAACTTCACTATGTGCGGTTATGTTTTCACATATTTTAGTATAATATTGCAAGGTGACCTTTCAATCACTCACAAACAATTTGGCTTGAAAAAAATAGACTCAAAGCATGGTAACTGTTCTAAAGATAGGAATCAGCTATTTAAGCTAAGAGAGAGTGTTAAAAAGGGAGTTTAGCTCAAATATATTTAGTATCCACAAGTTCATTCAAGCATGCATCATATGATAATTTCAAATCAAGTTAAAACTCTACTTGCTAAGACTGAGTTTAATTCACAGTTTTGCTTTAATCAAGACCTAAACAATGGTGTACAAAATCCAAAATTTGTTCATCTTTAATTTTAATTTCTTGAGTGCATTAGAAAACTAAGAATTTGAGCATTGTACAAACTAGCTAATTGTGGGTTGGAGAAAAAAAGAAAGCACAAAAATGTCGAGTGTCGAAATACTGAAGGCCAAGTTCAACGCAGCGGTAGCTGAGTTTATTCATCATGTCTTGGTCTCTTTTGACGAGTATTTCTAGGGATAGACAGATCTAACCGAAGCCAGGGAAGCCATATCCACATTACGGAATGAGATAAAATTGTCCTCAAGTTTCAGGGCCATGAGTACTTCACCAAAACTCCGTCCTCCATCGATGTTTCTCTGCTAGCTCCGGCCGATGGTTCTCCTCTAGCTCCAGCCGACGGTTCTCCTCCAGCTCTAGCCCAGTGAAGGATTTGTGACGGTTCTCTTTTTCTTTATATGAAATAATGGTGTGTGTGGCTTTTTTTTTAATATTGAATAAAATCTGTGACTTTTTATGGAAATAAAAACTAGCTAATTGTGATACTTATGCATGGACAACTCATCATAACTCCCAATGCATAATGCAAATTGTTGATATGTAATATCACACTAAGGGGTAAAATAGTAATATTCGAATCAAAAGTCTCGTTTTATTAGAAGATAGTTCGGAAAAATACAACTTGAGTTAAGGTCGTCGTAATTCCGACGACCTCGTTAGCAAAGGAAGAACTCGAAATAAAGTTGACGATCTCAAAGTTCTTCAAAGGTCTCTCTCTGCTGTTGATTTGCGGATGCCTCGAATGAATGAAATTCTCCCCTATTTATACGAATTCTAAAGCGGTTTGAGAAGAACTTTCATTTTCCTTCTCGATATGGGATTTAACATTTTCTTCCTCGATATTTTCGGAAATCCTCCGTGAAATTCGGGAAAGTCGGCCAATTTTTGTAAATTGGGCTTTAATGGGCCTTCTAGAAAGTCGTATGTCGGCCCATCCGATTTAACGTCGATTCCAATCTTCGTAAACCGAGGTCTCTCCGGGCCGGTCTCGATTAATACCGAGTTAAACCGGGGGTGCGAAGTACACCACCAATAGTAGGTCCCCCCCTCAGTTCGTCGAAGGAGTTTTTTTTATATGAGTTCGGCGAAATTCATGGATTCTTTTAACTCGGTTTGGATTGAGACCGGAAATAACTTAGCGGAAAAAATCTCGTACCGCTTTTATCTGGTGCCACTTGGCATAACCTCCATCTTTTGACTGCTTCCTTGTACGGACTCTATTCAGTGCGGGCTTTCTAACGGGCCTCAATCCTCTATAAATACTCCTCTTCATTTTCACTTCTTCACTTCTTCTCCACCATTTAAGGTATAAAGTTCTACCTTCTCTCTAGAATTTTCTCTCTCTATTCCTTTTTTTTTAGTTCGTTTTTCTTTAAGTTCGGCGATTTTAATTGTTTGTATCACAACCCAAAATGGGCGACCTGCCCCATTTTCTTTTAAAGCTTAGTGGAACTCATTTTATGAAGCCCACTTTGTGAAGCCCAATACCGAAATGGCTGACCTTCATTATCAGCGAACTTACAACCCAATATTTCCATCCGACCTTCATTTTGTGAAGTCCACTACGTTGGAGCCCATTTCTTTTTTTAATTTGCTGACCCTTGCAACTTGCCAACTCCCTTTTTTGATATAATTATGCTGTCTCCTTTTTCCTTTATCTACGTCGCCTTTTGTCTTCAAAACTAGATTTACTTTTTTTTTAATGAGCTGTCCTCCACTTCCACTTGCTTTTTCCTTTTTCTTTTTTACAGAGACTCAACTCCTTTCTTCAATGATAATGATCGCCATTCCTCTTTTTTTATTGAGCTCCCTTCTTCAAAAATGATGGCGATCTTCTTTTTTTTTTTTAAATAGTGTCATCCTTCTTCTTTCCTTTACCTAAGTCGCCTCTTTCTTCAAGACCAGATCTCCCCTTTTTTTTTAAATGTCGCCGACCCTTCCTCCCTTGTTCGCCGAGTCTCTCCTTCATCTTAATTAAGCTCACCTGCTTTCATTGAGGTCAAAGCAAATTATCCGACCTACTCATCGCTGCTATTTTTAAAGTCGCCGGCGACCTCTTTGGAGCAGATCTGCCTTGTCCGTTTTTGAGATCTCTAATTACAGACCGACCTCCGTTACATTCAGCTGCTGCGGTTCGACCTGCTATCGAGGTGTATGCTTATAAATTATCTTTTCTCCCTTCCCTTTTGTATGTTCTTCCAAAACTTTGCTGAACTTGCTCCTATATCTGACCTCTCTATTATTTTTTTTATCCGAGCTTGAATCCATCCGATCTGTCTTCTGTTTTTTTTTAAAACTTGATTTGCTCAAGTTTCTAGACTGATCCGATCCCCTTATCGGTCTTCTTTGTTAAGCACCACTTTGAAATCAGCGTTTTTTTGTTGTTGAGTTCCATTTCGCCAAAATTGATTTGTTCATACTTCCAGAACTCTCTTCCTCACCAGCTTATGGTCTCCATTTTTTTGTCGACCTTGTTTCTACTTACCCCGAACTACTGTCCAATGAAACCTTCTGATGTTTCCTCTAAATTTCATTCATCGATTCTCACAGATGTCTCCAAACTCGACCGATTCTACCAGTTCTTCCAGTTCAGATTCTTCAAGCTCTTCCAGCTCGCCTGATTCCTCGCCGAGCCAGAGTGGTCCTACTGAAAAACGAGTGGCTTCTCCTGCACCTGCTCCATCCGATCCGACTTCGTCTAGTTCCTCCAATTCTTCTCAATCCTCGCCGAGCCAGAAAGATCCAAAAGGAAAACGTGTAGCTACCTCGGGTTCACCGTCCTCGTCTAGTTCTTCCCCGACATCTGAGGAGGTCAGCCCATCCCAGCCTAATGACGAGATTGGAGTGGGCCAAGTCTCTGACGATCTTGACAAGGCGCTTAATGTCGAAGTGAGTCAGCTTAACTAGACGGAGAGCGAAGGAATGGTTCAGTTGGACGGAGTTGATCTTGAAGCTTGGCGAGAGATCGTCTTAGGTATTCTTGCGATTCGTCGTCAAATTGTTACTCCTACGGTCAAAGCCTCTTGTTCTGATAATAAGAGCATTCTTAGAGCTTTAAAGGATGCTGGGGCTTCAAAGATCGGTGTCAAGAAACCAAAAGATTTCCAAAGACCATGGGATGCTCCCGAAGGTTACATATACGTTTAAGAGGACTATTTCCGAACTTGCGGACTTCGCTTTCCAATTCCCAGTCGATTGATTGGATATTGTAATCGTAGAGGAGCCGCCTTGTCTCAGTTGATGCCGGCCTCTGTTACTAATTTCGTTGGACTTCAGACCCTTGGGTCAGACATCGATTTTGAGGTCACAATTTCGGTATTCGAAGACTTGTGTCAAATGAAGAAGAACAAGAAACCATGGTACTTCTCTGCCTGTACGAGATCGGGTTTCAATCTTGTTACTGGACCTAAGAGTAGCAACTACAAGGATTGGGAATCAAAATACTTATCTTCGTGTTGATTCTTCATCCTTCGAGAACCCTCACACGCGTTTTCGAACCGATTGGACGACTTCTATTGGTATCTGATTGTTTGACTGTTTTTCTTTGTGCTTTAAATCGCTTGCTAATCTTTTGTACTTCTTGCAGGTCGCCATCAGTCGAGCTGGATTAGTCACTCTGGTGTTACACAAGCGGTTATCGATCGTTTTAGTGCAGCCGGGAAGAAACGTTGGCCTGCTGCTTACGAAGATTCGATAGCTCATCGGGAAAAATGTCGTGGTAAGTCTTTATTCCTCTTTGCTTTATATGGTCGGCCTGAAATATTAGAACTAACTGGGTTTCTAAATTTTTGCAGCGCAAGCAACTCAGAAGCCAAAAACTTCCAAACCTCACAAATCCTGCAAGAAGATGAATCTTGACAAAATCCCTAATCTCTTTGCAAAGAAATCAGACGAGGCTCTCGCCGAGACCGTTGTTCCAACCGGTTCCGAACAGAAGAAGGAAAGTCTGAAGAAGACGAAGAAGTTGAGAAAAGCTACTTCATCCAAGAGGATTGATGACGAAACAGCTGCTGAGGCCAATGTTGGGAATACTGGCGTCGAAGGTGATCCTACCGATCTTCCTACTCTCGAGGTCTCAAAGAAGAGGCCATCTCGGAGTGATAGATCCGGGGAACTTCCGCAGTCTGATCGTGCTGAGAAGAGGACGCGAACACTTCCTCCGGCGAACGCTTTCTTTTTCTCGGACAGATACAAGACGATTTCCAAGTTGTCTTCTGATGTAAGTTTAAGTTCTCATCTTTTCTTTCTTCCACTTTGTTTTTTTTTTTAGTTTACTCACCTACTGTATTGACATTGCTTTCAGCTTACCGCTCGGGCGGACGAGATCATTGCTGAGTATGACCATGCTTCGACTGTCTCGAAGACTAAGATCTCCGAACTTGAAGGTCGTGTGGCTAACATGAAAAAGATTGCCGTGGAGAAGAAAGCAGCTGCTTCGAAGAAACCTCTGAGTTGCAAGCCGAGATTTCTGATCTCAAGGGACAGATTGTCGAACTTGACGCCAAACGAGATTTGCTATCAAAAGAGTTGAAGGAAGAACAAACACGGCTTAGAGGGGCTCGGAACAGAGCACTTCGAGGGTGGAAAACGGCGACTGAAAAGTGCCAAGTTCGAGTCGAGAAGTCGAACCGGCGTCGTTCCGAGATTGAAGCGCAAATGGAACCATATCTCGAGTATAACCAGCTTTGCGGGATTCTTAGTTTTTGTGATGAATACGGTCTGAAAGGCGGTGCGATTTCTCCATCTGTTATCAGCGAGCTTGAGAGGCGCAAGGCAGACATTATGTTATGAGGTCGGATTTTCTAGGATCTTGTGCTTTTCATTAAATACTTGTGCTCGAGTTCAGTTTAATGATTCTGAACTAGGGAGGATTTGACTTTTCGAACTGTGAGTTCGGCCTATTTTGCAAGTGTTGAAAACTTGGCTTACATTTTGCGAGTGTTGAGAACTCGGCTTATATTTTGCGAGTGTTGAGAACTCGGCTTATGGTGCGAATCTGAGGTGTTCGGCTTAATTTTTTCGAGTTCAATGAACTCGGCTTGAAACCCAAGGGATCGAGTTCTCTCGTGCTGGAAGGACGGAGTTCGAAAGAAGCGTTTCCTTGTAAACACACGATAAAACTCCAGGTTTCCTAGATCGAATCGGAGTATGCGGGATGAGCCCGGCTTATTGTTCTCAGATGACCTAGGAGTAAGTAATGTGGGACTGGCCTCGGCTTTAAAAATTGTGGATTCTTTCACCACGGCGCCATGTGGACGCTTGCGAGACGGATCTCGGCTTTTTGAGGTTGCATTGTTGAGAAATGCTATCGAATGTCTGGCCAGGACATCGATGTAAATACCGATGAGTTTGGTTGCGACTGCGAACATAGGAGTTCGGCTTAACAGATACTTAGAAAAATTAAATTTTATTGATATCATAGCTGAACTCTTGACGAGCTGCCTACGTACCCGCGAAGGGATCAAGCCATTCGTAGTTCATGTTACAATGTTTAGAGCTCGTAGAGTGTTCTTTTTTTCTTTTTTTTTTGATCGGGTTACCGACCTAATAGTAGACCTAATAGTAGTATCTCTTCAGATTCATCGAATTCCACGATCTCGGAATTGAAGTTCCATCCATCTTCATGAGTTGATAAACACCTGGTTTTACGACCTTCATTATCTGATACGGGCCTTCCCAATTGGCACCGAGCTTACCAACGTTTTTTTCCTCGAACTTTCTTGTTGTAGTATCGCGCCGCCATGTGTTGATAATTCTGAATTCGGAGTAATGCTTGGTCGCGTTGCTCTTCTAGTTCATCAAGTTTGTCGTACATCATTTGGTCGTTAGTTTTGGGATCTTGAGTGAGCATTGTCCTTCTGATGGTCGGAATTGAAATTTCAGCTGGGCAAAGAGCCTCGACACCATATGCTAAGGAAAAGGGAGATTGTCCTGTTAATCTTCGAGGTGTTGTTCGATGCGACCATAATACTCCGTCGAGTTCGTCAGACCAAGTTCTTTTCTTTTCAGCGAGCCGTTTTTTTAGGCCGTATATAATAGTTTTGTTTGTCGCTTCTGCTTGACCATTGCCCTGAGGGTACCTAGGTGTAGAGAAGTTCAATCGAATTTTCCATTCAGCGCAAAAGTCTTGAAAAACGGCCGAAGTGAACTGAGATCCGTTGTCGGTGTCAATCTCATAAGGAATCCCTTGTCGACAAATGATGTTTTTCCAGACTAATTTCTTGACCTCGTTTCCGTGTATTTCTGGGTAGGCTTCGGCTTCGACCCATTTGGTAAAGTAGTCCGTCATGACGAGGACGAACTGCTTTTGAGTAGTGGATCGGCAAAAAGAGCCTATGATGTCCATCGCCCATCGCATAAACGGGTAAGGAGCTGTGGAGGTTGTTAACAGTTCGGTAGGAAGGTTGATTATTGGGCCATGCCTTTGGCACCTTTCACACTTAGCGACAAATTTTTCGCAATCTGAAACCATAGTAGGCCAGAAGTAGCTTGCCTTCTTTATCTTCAGGGCGAGAGACCGACCTCCAGAGTGATTCCCACCTGATCCTTCGTGAACCTTTTTCATAATTTCCTTAATCTCTTTGCTGGATACGCAGATGAGAAGAATTCCTGCTGCGCTCCATCGGAATAGGCCGTCCTTGATCATCATATACCGAGCCGCACACATTTTTAGTCGGCATGCTTCCCATTTGTCCGGTGGTAGCTCTCCATTCGCTAAGTATGCTATAATTTCTTGCGTCCAATCTGGAGGTACTTCCTCATCGTTTTCGTCCACATTTAGTGGGTCGTGACGACCTTTGGAAGGAAGTTGAGAATCGCAGAAAGCGTGAAGGTGTTGTGCGCCGATTTCCTTTGCAAGACGGAGGCCGGCGATAAGTGCCTCGTATTCGGCTTCGTTGTTAGACGCTGGAAAGTCTAAACGAAAGGATTGTTCCAACAGTTCGCCGGTCGGTGTTTTAAGCCGAATACCAATTCCAGATCCTTTGTAGGATGACGATCCATCAACGTGAAGCACCCATTTTTCAGCTTCGGTTAAGTCGGCTTTGACGAGTTCGGGTGAAAGTTCAATCAAAAAATTGGCTAACACTTGTGATTTTGCGCTAGTCCGGTTTTTGTACTCAATGTCGTACTCGCTTAGTTCGATAGCCCACTTCGCAAGACGTCCTGACTGGCTAGGATTGTGCAAGATAGCGCGGAGCGGTTGGTCGGTGAGCACCGTGATGGAGTGTGACTGAAAGTAGGGTCGGAGTTTTCGTGCCGAGGTGACAACAGCCAACGCCAATTTTTCTAAGGTCGGGTATCGTGACTCCGCGTCGTTGAGTGCTTTGCTTGTGTAGAAAATTGGCTTCTGCTCGCCACGATCTTCTCTGACACGAACGCTACTGACAGCCGAGACAGATACTGCGATGTACAAATACAGGGTCTCGCCGTCCTCTGGTTTGGCTAAAATCGGAGGAGTAGACAAGTATTCCTTCAATTGTTTGAATGCGTGTTCGCAGTCGTTGTTCCACTCAAGATGCTTATTGCCATGAAGGATTTGGTAAAAAGGTAAGCATTTGTCCGTTGATCGAGAGATATGAATCTATTTAGTGCAGCAATTCATCCTGTAAGCTTTTGGACTTCGCGCTTCGTGGTCGGGGATGGAAGCTCGAGGATCGCCGTTATCTGTTTTGGGTTAGCTTCGATCCCTCTCCGAGTCACAATATATCTGAGAAATTCACCGGACGTAACTCCAAATGTACACTTAGTAGGATTTAGCTTCATGCCAAGTATCTCGAAACAGGTTTGGAGATGTCGGACATGATCTTTGGCGAGAAGAGACTTGACGAGCATGTCGTCAATGTAGACTTCCATGGTTCGGCCGAGCTGACTGGCAAACATTCGGTTAACAAGTCGTTGGTAGGTCGCCCCGGCGTTCTTTAGCCCAAACGGCATGACTTTGTAACAATAAATTCCGCGATCCGTGATAAAAGAAGTCTTTTGGTGGTCTTCTGGATGCATAAGTATTTGATTATAATCGGAGAATGCGTCCATAAACGAAAGAAGTTCGTTTCCTGCGGTCGCCTCTACCAGACGATTAATATGTGGTAAAGGGAAACTGTCTTTGGGACAAGCTTTATTCAGGTCGGTGAAATCAACGCAAATTCTCTATTTCCCGTTCTTCTTTTTGATGACGACGGGATTAGCAAGCCAATCTGGATATCGAACTTCAGTGATAGATCCTGTTTGAGTCGCTCGACTTCGTCATTAACGGCTTGTGCCTTTTCAGGTCCAAGTTTGCGTCTTTTTTGTATGACGGATTTGAAAGTAGGGTCGATATTGAGTTCGTGGCGTGCCACCTTTGGATCTATGCCCGGCATATCGCTGATCGACCATGCGAAGGTTGTCACGTGCTTGCGGAGGAACTGAAGTATAATTTCCCTGATTTCTGGATCCAGGTCGGCACCTATACCGACCTATCTTTCAAGGAAAGTCTCGTCGATGCTGACCTGAACTACCGTTTCTTGTGGTGGCTTCTGCTTTTGAGTTATTGGGTCGGACTTCGCGCTGATGGCACACGATTGATTAGCAATTCGGAGCTTGCATTCATTAATGTAACATGATCGAGCTGTAGCTTGATTTCCACGAAGTGTATAAATTCCTCCTGGAGTTGGAAATTTGACGCACTGATGATAAGTAGAAGCTACTGCCTTCATTGCATGGAGCCAAGGCGTTCTGAGGATGGCGTTGTAGATTGCTGGTGTCTTCATGATGAAGAACTTAACAGTGTTTGCAACACCCGCAACGTAGATCGGTATTTTGACTGTACCGACTGTCATGGTTTGCTCGCCCGTGAATCCTGTTAACGGTTCGATGTCCGCCTTAATTTTTTTCTTAGGAAAATCCATCTGCTCGAGTGTATCTCGGAAGATGACGTTAACCGAACTGCCAGTGTCGATCAAGACTCGACTTACTTCGACATCGTCAAAGAGTAGGTCGACTACCAGAGAATCGTTGTGTGGCATTTGGAGACCGATTGTATCCGCTTCTGTGAATGCAATGGCTGGTCCGCTCGTCGTTGTTGTGCTGAATTTCGACGCGGTAATCGCCTGTCGACTATACTCTTTTATCCCCCGAACTGAGTAGTTGCACATCTCGAGTTTGCCCATGATAAAGTTGACTCGTTTCCTAGGTTTTGGTACATGGGTGTCTGTGTTGTTGTTTTCCCGACCTCGTTTTTGCTGCTCGGGTCTGGCTGGTTGTGGGTGATCTGTTTCGGTTGTACCAGCGGTGTCTTGGATCCTTTCGTTTATGACTGTATTAGGTCGCTCTTGCTTTTCATTGTTGCGTCGGACTGGAGTTCGGCGAACATCGTCCATTGAAATTGATCCTTTTCTGAATTGTTCTAGGAGGTAATCTTTCAAGTGTCGGCATTCTTCGGTGCTGTGTCCTTTACGGTTGTGTAATTCGCAGAACAATGTCTCGTCTTGATCGTCATTACCGCGAATCCATTTGTTGTTCCATGGTCGCTGTGGTTGAGCCGAGTTGACATTGTTACTTGCGAATTTTCGTCGATTGTCGAATCTTCTGTCGTAGGTCTGACGTGGCTCGTTATTGTCATTTTTAGGTCTCTCTTTTGGGTCGACCTGCTTTTGTGAAGATTTTCTCTGATCGTAGGCAGCCTCTCTTCCTCCTCTGCAATATATGAGTTCGACCGATGGAGTGTGTCCTCGAGTGTAAGCGGTGGGTTGTGTATGATCGCTTTGTGAAAAGATGACTTAATCCGAGTTGCCTTGTGCAAACACTCGAGGGCGGCCTCGTCGCTGACCGTGCAATGGGCAACAACTGACTTGACACATTTGATGAAGTCGCGGAGACTCTCGTTTTCTCCCTGAACCATTCGCCATAGTTCGGCATTTCGCGTCTTCTGCCCGATAAACATCGAAAAATGTTTAACGAACGCTGTCGAGTTCGGCGAAACTGTTTATGGAGTTCGCTTCAAGTCGAGTGAACCAATCGAGAGCAACTCCTTGGAGATTTTCAACGAACAACTGACACCTTACTGCATCTTTTTCTTCTGTCGTCCGGAACTGAAAGCGGTTCATGACGATGCCAAAAGATGTCAGAAAATGCTTTGGGTCGGAATCTCCTTCGTAAGTTTTGAGTTTTAACTTCTCAAGATGCCGGACAGGAGTGTTAGCGATTCTAGGAGTGAATGGCGTCTTTTGTGCCTCTTGGATAACGCGATCGATTTCGGGAGCGGCACTGGTTGCTTTGTGAATCTGTGAGGTGATTTCACGAAGTTTGACCTTCATGGCTTCGAAATCATCGCGATTGAAGGTGGATTGAGTGGCTGGGTTGCCAGTAGATCCTAAGGCTGTAGATCGGACTGTTCCAGTTGGGGGTTCCTCTGAGTTGAGGTCGCCAATTAAGTTACGACCTCGCAATGGAGTTTGCGTTTGACTGAGTTTTGCGATTTGTGCCGCCATGACGTCCAAACGTTCATTGTTCTGTTTTGTTATTTCTTGAAACTGAGCTGTTATTGCCTGTAGAATGGCGTTTTGGTCGAACTGTCCGGAGTTCGTTGGAGTTTCCGTATTGTTCGGGTCAGTTCTGTTGGGATTTTCCGGAGTGCTATCGTTGTCGCCATTCCTTGTTTCGGAAGCAGTTAGGTCTGCCATTGCCGAACTTGTTCTTCTTTATCGAGCTAGATTGAAAATATTACTGTAATTCCCCACAGTCGGCGCCAATTGTTGATATGTAATATCACACTAAGTGGTAAAATAGTAATATTTGAATCAAAAGTCTCGTTTTATTAGAAGATAGTTCGGAAAAATACAACTTGAGTTAAGGTCGTCGTAATTCCGACGACCTCGTTAGCAAAGGGAGAACTCGAAATAAAGTTGACGATCTCAAAGTTCTTCAAAGGTCTCTCTCTGCTGTTGATTTGCGGATGCCTCGAATGAATGAAATTCTCCCCTATTTATACGAATTCTAAGGCGGTTTGAGAAGAACTTTCCTTTTCCTTCTCGACATGGGATTTAACATTTTCTTCCTCGATATTTCCGGAAATCCTCCGTGAAATTCGGGAAAGTCGGCCAATTTTTGTAAATTGGGCTTTAATGGGCCTTCTAGAAAGTCGTATATCGGCCCATCCGATTTAACGTCGATTTCAATCTTCGTAAACCGAGGTTTCTCCGGGCCGGTCTCGATTAATACCGAGTTAAACCGGGGATGCGAAGTACACCACCAACACAAACCTATATGATATGCATTCTACACTCAATTTTAATCATGTAAATGCAATTAAATAATTTTTTTGTGGAAAATTTTCAAATTTTTTGATTTTTTGTGTTTTTTTATGCAAATATATGAATGCATGATGAGACTTAAGATGCAAAAATAGAAATAAAATCACAAGAAACATAGATAACAAACACTATCCCTCACACTTAAATCACACAGTGCAATATTGCATGATTAGTTGTCTTTGTAGATTATCCATCTTTATAATTGCCTTTTGTGTGAGCAAACATATGATGAAGATAAAAACTATTAAAACTAACATTTACATTATCAAAATTTATATGATCAACTATTACCTCTAGTACATATATTTAGCCCAATTTCCAATAGCATGAGTTCTTGAGTGATCAATCTGAAGAAATAAGAGATTTGTAATTACAAATTAATTAAAAGTGAGCAGACCCATTTAACATTCGTATTGTTTCTCAATTTTAAAAGTTTTCGAAAATGAAACAAAAATATCTAATCTCTTCCTCTTACTGATGTCTCCTAAACTGACTTTAAGATTATATTGTCGAAAATTTCCTTTTCTGAACAACAATTTTTTTCCTAGCTCTTATTAAATACAACTCCTTTGAATTAGATTTGTGGTTGAAGCTCAAGATCTATCTGAGAGCTTTTTGTTTGTGGTTAAATAGGTGAATTTGTAGATTTAAATGTAAGAAGTGTTCATGAAACCTACTTTTAATGAACCTTAGATTTTCATCTGCGCGCCTATGAGGGATAATTTTTTCATGCAATATTTTCAGATTCTGGTCAGACCTGTTACTCCGAGCAAAATATCCTCACGTCCGCATAGTATAAGTTTTTTTTCTTATACATAATTATTGTATTAAACTAAATTTTACTTATGAAAATTCATTATGTAGACATAATTTTAAGAAATAAGAAACTGATTTATTTTAATATAAAATTATTGAAATTTAAATCTACATTGAGTGTGAACAACATATTTGATTTGTTTTTATCTTTTATATTTTTTTATTTTATAAAAATTTATATTTATCATATGACATAAATAATAAAATTTACTTTTCAGTATCCAAATTTTGATAGATTTTGTAAACTTTGGTATTATGTGAATTTATATTTATATTTAATCAAATTTACATTTATTAATGTTAAAATTGGCTTACATGTTTTATTTTAATATGCCTCGAGCTAGTCAGCCTACTTTATTAGATTTTTTGACAAATTAAACCGCAAAAGCCTGTATTAATAAAAAATAAGTCTAATCCATCCATTATATTATCATTTAATATAAATATTTACTAACTTAAAATATTTGAAATTTTAGGCTTATTGATTATAATAAAAAAATACAATTTAAGATTCTGAGATTATTATTTAAATTTGAATATTTAAGATATTCAAATATTTTAATTAGCTCTATTTAAGAAATCTAAAATAATAATATTTCAAATTTTGGAATTAAATTTCAATATAATTTCGAAATTTTAAATATTATTTAAGATTATTTTATATTTAAATAATAACTAATTAGAATATCTATATATAACCATAATTGTTTTTTTTTAGATTTTTTTTTAAAAGTACTTGTTTGATAACAAGAATAGTAGTTATCAAGGAAAGCCTAAAATAAAGTTTCCTTGTTTGGACATAAAAAATCTCTTTTCAATAGTATAGATTTCCCAACAAATACTGCCAAGAAAACATTCAGGAAATTTTTTCATAAACTAAAGAGTTGGATAAAACATAGTGTTTTCTAAGAGACCATCAAATTTCGTGTTAGGAGCATTTTGTTGAAGTTCGAAGGAATTAAATATAAACAAGTCGCCCATGACTTTTACTGACCATGCACCAGTCAAAAATCAAGACTCGGATCATCGTCCCCCTCAAGATTGTTTCATAATTAATGAATTTTGGAAACAGGGTTGGCCATAGATTAAAGCAGGTAAAACCTTTGCTTTAGAGCGCCAAAAATCTATATATAAGTTAGGGGCATCAATTTTGAAAGCACATTATAGTGCATTGGTTGACTGTTAAAACCATGAGGTTTTTGTCTGTGGTTCGAGTCTTGAAACCGCTATTTAGAGATGTTTTTTTTATAATAAGGCAAACAAAATTTTGGGTTTTAGACATCAAAATCTATTGGGTCAGTCATCTTTGGAAAAAATCTCTAAACCGAAGATTTTAGCTAGAACCAATGTGAACAAAATGATTTGCTCCTTCTAGACCAGCTCCAACCCTGAACTTTATATTGGGTTCATGGGCTTTTTTTTTTTTTTTTTTGAAGAATCATCTCTTGAATGAACCTGGTGGCAAAAAGGACTTCCAACCTTGAACTCCATATGAGGTTCATTAGAATTAAATATATTTTTTTTGAAAATATTTTTTTTTTAAATAACAATTTAAGAAATTTGATATATTATGAAATTAAAAGATTATTCATTACTTAAAATTTTAAACATAAGAAAAAAAGATATTCAACAACCCACTTTTTTTATATCTACGAGTCTTAAATACAAAAACATGTATACATCAAAACATAAACATCATATATATAGGCATTAATAGTTCATAATTTTGAGCATTAAACTCCATAAGCCTCACTTAAGCTGGTATTTGTTTAGTCATTCAGATAGTGACTGGCGTTGTTTCTTGTTGTAAGTGAATGCAACGAAAAGACTTTCTGGTGAAACGGAGTCTTCATCACAATGGATGTCTCTTCAACGAGAAAATCGGTTAGTATTTTAAATGCTGCTTGATGACTATCTCCACCAAACAAGTTAAGACCAAGCGTCTTCACGAATCTGCAAAAGAGAGAGTAAGAATCAAGAAGAAGCTATAAACAATGCTTGCCAGAAAAAAAAAAAGAGATATTCGTGAAGAAGTTTCATTACTTTTTACCGCAGCTACCTTCTAGCTGAATCTTGTATCGGTTGTAAAGAGCCTCTGCGCCTACTTCTAGAATCCGTGTTAGCATCTGTACAAGGATTGCAGCAACATCGGTGAAGTCATAAGCTTTCTCTCCAATGTCATCGCAAGCTGCTTGATCATCAATACGCATAGGAAGCATTCCGGGTGAATCTAACAGATCCAGATCTTTCCCAAGCTTCACCCATCTGTTTACAGTAAGATATAAAAGGCGACCAATGGCAATGATCAACATAAGATAATTGAATGTGCTTGCGAGAACTGAGTGAAGGTTTTAAAAAGCATAATTACTTCATTTCTCTAGTTACGCCTGGTCTTGGAGCTGCAGTGCAGATTTTGCGCTTCAATAAACGATAGATCAAAGATGATTTTCCAACATTAGGGTATCCAATTATTCCAGCTCTAACCTGCATCATCTGAACAGATATAATGGATCATGAAACATTTTACTCACTGATCTGGGGAGAAGTCCTTTTTCTCGTCGTTTCCCATTAACATCACCTGCTAAAGTTTTTGCTAACCGACCTAACTTCATAGCTCCCTACAACCATCACTCAGAGATTATTAAACCAATAAAAAAATCAACCCAAAAGCAACGACTAAAGTTATAGAAACCATACCATCCCAAGTTTGCCATTAGTGAAATGACCTTTATTCCTTGCTTTGCAAAGTATCTAGCCCAATCATTTTGATCATCGTTTGATATCATATCTTCTCTATTTAAATACTCTATTAACCCTAATTTGATTGTAACAAAAACCCCAAATTTTTCCCCCAATTCACGAAATCCTAACTCGACAAAACACAACAAATCATGCAAAATCAAACAGCAGAAAACGACCACACAACTTACCTTGACCTCGCGATTCGATGATCCCTTCCGATTTCGACAAAGTCTCAATGATTTCCCGTGGAAGATTCTCGCCGGAGGAGATGAAACGGACTCGTCGAATAGAAAGAGAGAAGAAAATTTTCCGTCGACAAAAATAAACCCGACATGAAAGAAAATTTTCTCCAAATCTTTCTTTCTCTGGACCAACCAAAACAAAACATGTGGCCATGAACCCCAAGACGAGACGGGCTCTTCAGGTTCTTCTTGAAGGATCAGTTCATCCGAGTTTAGACTTTTTTATAATATTTTAATTTTAAAAAGGTGATAAACCCCTTCCTTAAACCCGCGATGAGTCCGCGTTGGAGGTGGTCTCATAAAGACGACTTTTCTCAACGAGCATGACTACACATGTACGACTTTTTTCAGGAAAGTTATGGTCTAGTGGTCTAAAAATTTTACAATAAAAAAGTCAAACTATATGAAGTCATTGTTCTCTAGGGTAAAAATGGACATACATTCGTAATAAATGAACAACGTGTCAAGCCATACCTCGAAAAAGAAGAAGAGAGAGAAGTAATGCTCTTGACGGATCCACCAGGCTAATGCATCAACAAAGTCAAGCTAATAATTTTAAGCAAGCGCTTACTGAGAGACAACCCATTTGGTATTTTATCTATTCCCTTAAAATTGCATTTTCTATTTTTGTTGCTTTGTTTTTGTTTCTTTTTATTTCAGATTTTAGAAGAAGAATAAATAAGAGACGAGTGAAAATCACAAACTAGAAAACACCTCATCACCGCGGCTGCGCACAGTTCACCTGCGGTGGAGCCAAGATCGACCAGTCCCATGACACTCTCCATTTGGGTGCACTATTATAGTCACACCTCGTGAAGATGATCAACGATAATGGTAAGATCAATCATAACACACTGCAAGGTAAGTACACCTAAACACTCCAAAATTTTCAATCCATTTATATCCCGTCATCTCATAAATTTTTCATACTGGAGACAATATGATTTAAGCCTGGCAGAGGATATTCATCCATTACTAACAAAATTTGGTTTGTTTTAAATTTGTTTTTCATAAAAAAAACTCCCACAAAGACAGAAAATTTCAAAAGGTTTTCAAAGTAGGAACATAAGAAACAATTCTATGATAATTTCGACCAATGTGATTCTACGTTATTTGCTCATGATTGCTCTTTTGGTGATTTAGAACTAGATTAGGCGGTAGTTATAGTACTTGCACTACGTACTCCCACAAGAGGATTTTTATCAATGGAGATTCTTTCTAACATGATATACTAGCTCATTTTAGTTGAACTTAATTTGATATCTATTTTTCTCATCATTGGTTATAGGCAGACATCGCAAGGTACACACTACAAGAAAACAATCGTTTTCAAACGGTCTGTTACGACGGTTTAAAAATTATGGCAAATATACAACGCTTTTACGACGATTTTACGAGGGAAAAACAAAACATCGTAAAACCGTCTTAAAAAATAATCGTCGTAACTTCGATGTATAATTTACGATGCTTTACGATGATTATACATCGATAAAGAGATATTGATATTTATTGCAAAACCATCGTAAATTGGATGTAACATTACGACGAATTTACGACGATCAAAATCCGATGTATAGTTACGACGATTTTACGTCGACAAAGAAGGTAGGTGAAGAACATTTAAAACATGTTTACCTAACAAATGTCGATAAAATATTTTATCGCACAATCGACGTAAAATCGTCGTAATATGAAGGTTGGATGTAAAAGCGATGTAAAAAATCGTCGTAAAAGCGTCGTAAAGTCCGAAATTTTGTTATAAATACATCTTCATTCCTTCTTTCATTCACAACACATCATCATTCAAACATAAGAGCATCAGCATCCTGGAGACCCATTTTAGGTCTCTTAAACCTTAGTATAGTGTTGTAAATTATGATATATTGGGTTGTCCATTGCTGGAAACCCGAATTAGTAGTTATTTCTTTGAAAAAAAGAAGTAATAATATTAAAAAGTTTACTCCATTCACATGGCTACACGTGACACAAGAGACCGTCTCTTTTATTGTCCAAACAATAGAAAGAGATATATAGTATTATTGAGTTTGTTTCAAAATGTCTACATACGAGCTAAGAAGCTAGATGTATATGCATAAAGATTCAGATGGGGTGTTGACAGAAGAATTCAAGAACGGGTTAGAAATATTTATGTATCAGGCCACAAATATGGAGAGAATGAAAGATAGCGGGAAGATGTTTTGTCCTTGTTTGAAATGCAAGAATACGAGGTATACACTAACTAAAACCGTGTGGACGCATTTATTAAATAGAGGGTTTATGCCGCAATATTTTGTTTGGTATCTACATGGAGAAGGATATGGCAGTAATACTCATGGGAATACTGGTAGTAATAGTAATTATCAAAGTCATGTTAATTTTGATGAATCGAATTATGGTCATCAGCCTAATCAGTATCAATCTGATCAAGGTCTAGATCATGATAGGATGCATGAAATGGTGACTGATGCATTTCATGAAACGCATACTGGTAATGTTGTTGAGGAACCTAATGTAGATGCCAAACGATTTTATGATTTGTTAGACAATGCTAATTAGCCAATCTACGAAGGATGTAGAGAAGGTCTGTCTAAATTATCGTTGGCAGCTAGGATGATGTCAATTAAAACAGATCATAACCTGGCTGAGGTTTGCATGGATGATTGGGCTGATCTTCTGAAAGAGTATCTACCGGAGGATAACTTGGCAGCGGCAACATACTATGAAATACAGAAGTTGATTTTTAGTCTTGGTCTATCTTCTGAGATGATAGATGTATGTGTTGACAATTGTATGATTTTTTGGAAAGATGATGATCAGCTGGAGGAATGTTGATTTTGCCAAAAACCAAGATACATGCCGCAAACTGGTGGGCGTAAAAGGATACTGTACCAACGTATGTGGTATCTCCCTATAACTGATAGGTTGAAACGGCTTTATCAATCTGAAAGGATAGCTGCATCAATGAGATGGCATGCAGAACATACACAAGTAAATGGAGAAGTTGTTCATCCTTCAGATGCAAAGGCGTGATAACACTTCAATACGGTATATCCAGATTTTGCTAAGTTCAAACGGAATGTCTATCTTGGTCTATGCACTGATGGTTTTAGTCCATTTGGTATGTCTGGTAGACAATATTCATTATGGTCAGTAATCCTAACCCCCTATAACCTTCCTCCAGATATGTGCATGCAAAGGGAATTTCTTTTCCTTAGTATTTTGGTTCCAGGTCCCAATCATCCGAAGCGAGCTCTCGATGTATTTCTACATCCACTCCTACATGAGTTGAATCAGTTATGGTATACCGGCGTTCGCACATATGACTGTTCAACGGGGAAAAATTTTACTATGCGGGCTGTGCTTATGAGGACAATAAGCGATTTCTCCGCTTATGGTATGCTATCAGGATGGACTACACATGGGAGGTTATCTTGTCCTTATTGTCTTCATCGAACTGATGCGTTTCAGCCAAAACATGGTAGAAAAACCTGTTGGTTTGATTGTCACCGGAGTTTTTACCGGATAATCATCCATATCGGAGGAACAAGAGGTTGTTTAGGAAGAACAAAAGTGTATTTGTCCCTCCACCAGTAAATTTAACATGAGCTGATTTACATGCGCAAATCGAGCATTGGGGGGCAGAGGAAACAGTAACGCGTGGGGGAAACTGGCACACTCCTGCAAATATGCATGAAGGTTATGGAGTTCATCATAATTGGGACAAGAAAAGTATCTTTTGGCAACTACCATATTGGAAAGATCATCTGCTCAGAAATAATCTTGATGTCATGCACATTGAGAAAAACTTTTTTGATAACATCATGCATACAGTTATGAACGTAACGGGAAGAACAAAGGACAATGCTAAGTCAAGATTGGACTTGCCTGATTTATGCAACAGAAGTGAGTTGCATATACTGAGAAACGGGAAAGCACCAGTTCCTGTATTTCGGTTGAGTGCAGATCAAAAATCAGCATTGTTCAAATGGGTTTCATCTGACGTTAAGTTTCCTGATGGGTATGTTTCTAATCTTTCTAAATCTGTTGAGAAGGGGGTAAAGTTTATAGGGATGAAAAGTCATGACTGCCACGTGTTTATGCAACGATTATTTCTATTTGCATTTGCTAAACTCTTGCCCAACAATGTCCATGAAGCTGTTGGAGGCATTGGTGCTTTTTTCCGGGATCTTAGTACATGAACATTATCAGTTGATGTAATAACACAACTGGCATCGAATATTCCAATCTTATTGTGCAATTTGGAAAAGATCTTCCCCCCATCATTTTTTGATGTTATGGAACATCTTCCTGTTCATCTCCCTCACGAAGCAGAACTCGGTGACCAGTTCAGTACAGGTGGATGTATCCGTTCAAGCGTTTCATGAAGCATCTTAAGGGTAAAGCCAAAAACCTAGCTAAAGTGGAAGGTTCAATTGTGGCGGGAAGCTTGACGCAAGAGACTTCGCACTTCACTTCGTACTATTTTGCACCAAAAGTATGAACACGCAAAAGAGCTACTCGTCGATATGATGATGGAGGAGTTGGCCAAACATATGCAGTTGAGGGTGTACCTGACATATTCTCGTTGATCAGACGTCTTAGTGGAAAACTGAAGGAAGTTTGGTGGTCCAATGAAAAAGATTATCACAGTGCACATTTGTATATACTGCTAAATTGCGAAGAGTTATCATCGTATGAGAGGTAAAAAATGTCCACTATCGATATATATCTATCTGTCAATTTTAATTAATTATTAGTTGTTTTTTTCAGCACATTCGTTGATGAAGTTAAAGAATGCATCTCCGGGGTTTCTGAAACTGAAACCAATGATCGTAAAGATCTACACTATGCCCAGTGGTTGAAAGCGCAAGTACGTATAATATATAAATTTAAAGACTTTGATATGGTTGCATGCATATTTGCAAAATCAAGAAAATTAAAGCAAGATTGTTTCTGATTAGGTGGACCCGAATGGTCCGGATGAATTTCCAACATGGTTCCATGAGTTACTACTTGGTCCGATGGCAAAAATAACGACAGCCTCCATGTATTTCACTCGGGGCTATGTTTTTCACACATACCGTCACGGTGCAAAGCGGGCGACAACTAACTATGGAGTTTGTGTGAGGGGTGAAATAGATTTTTATGGAGTTCTGCAAGAAATAAT